TGCGCTCGAGGGCCTTGACGGCGTCGATGCAGCGCTCGTAGTCGAGCTCCTCGTCGCGGGGGTCGGCGTCCCGGGCTGCTGCTCGCCCCACTGCGCGAGTGCGGCCGGGGGCACCGGAGGCGGCTGGCGGGAAGGGGAAGCGGCGGGCGAGCTTGCGGGCGAGGTTGTGCGAGACGGTGCGGAGAGCAAAAGCGGCGTGGTCGCGGCGTTTGGTATTTGTTGCGAGGCGCTGGAGGACGGGCCGCTCGGCGAGATGGAGAAGAGACGTGACTATTGCGATTGAGGGGGCGGGGAGCGGGATCCAAGTTGCTTCGATCCTGGCGCGCGGAATCGAGGCTGGTTTGGTGCCGATATGGCGAAATAACATGGAGGGCTTCGGTGGAGCAGGGACGTCGGTCATGGAGTCTGCGGTGACGCGACGCTTCTTGGGCACGGGTTCGGTGGTTGGGACATCGGTCGAGGGCCGTGGTGCTTTGCTCTTGTTCTTGGGTTTGGGAGATTGCGGGGGTTCGGCAGCGGATATGTTCGAGGTTCGGGGCCGGCCTCTTGGCTTTGGTTTTAGTTTTGGTTTTGGTTTTGGTTGTGATTGTGATTCTGGTGGTGGTGGATCGAATGGGAGAGAGACGTCGCTCCGGCGCGGACGGCCTCTCGGCTTCTTCGCGGGCGGATCTGCCTCGATTGCTGAAGCCTCGGCTGTCGTTGATGGAGGTGGCTGCTGTGTACGATCTTCGGATGGTTCGCCTTGTGCTTGTTCTTTTTCTTCGGCAGGTGGCCGCCCTCGTTTGCGCTTCTGCGTCTTTTGAGGCTCTGGCGGCTCCTCCTCTTGCTGTGGCTGCGTCTCGGCAGCGGTTTCTGCGAGCGAGGGTCGCCCACGTTTCCTCTTGCGAACCTGCCGGCCAGGCTTCGGTGTCTCGTCGTTGATCGTCTCTTGCGGGCCATCGGATGGCTCAGCTGTCACATGCACTTGGCTGGCAGTGACTGTTGCAGCGGCAGGCCCATCGGTTTGGCTGGGTTGGGTGCCAGTGTCGGGCTCTTGTTTCTTCGCGCCTGGTGGTCTTCCGCGACGGCGCGGCTGCGATTCTGGCGCAGGGGCCGATTGCGGTTCTGGCGTGAGGCCCGATTGCGCGATTGGCTTGTTCTTCGGAGGCCGCCCTCGTGGTCTGGGGGTGCTCTGGACCTGGCCCTCAAAGCTGAGCTCTTCGTTGACATCTTGTGGCAGCGCTGGCGGTTCAGGTTGCGACGCGTCTGACGCGACGAGTGCTGCGCGTTTCCGGCCTCGGGATGCGGCCTTGGGAGGCTGCGCATTCCTTGTCAGCAGGGTCATGGAGTATCGGGCGCACGAGAGACGCGTACCATCTTGCAGAGAAACCAAAACTTGGGCTCACATGGGTGTGCGTGTTGTGTTCAAGCTGTGCAGTGAAGCCTTTGACGTCGTGGGATGTGTTCAAGGTGGGATGCGCGATGTGGCTGATGCTTAAGCTGCGTGTGGCTGGAGACTGACGAGAAAGACCGAGCTTGCGCTGAAGCTTGAGGTTCCATGCGCCTGAGACAGACAAGACAGAGTGGAAGCTATGGCGCAAAGATACAAGTACCATGTACTGGACACGCTGAGTTAACGTGCACCTGGGAACCCAGGAGCAGCCAATCAGACATGTCCCAGTGCGAAGCGGCTCCAGTTCCCTGGCTTCCTGGCTCCCTGGCCCGTTGGCCCGTCGTCCGCCGTGTGGACACGCCCCCTGGCAGCCTGGCAGCCTGGCACGGGTGTGATTTCGTCTATGGAGGCCTTGGGGATGGGGAGATTGATGGCGGGCCTCCCTTCACTGAGCTGGCTGGCTGGTGCTGTGCAGTGAGTGTCCCTAGGAAGGTAAGCCAGGCCCGGAGGCAAGGTAATTATGGTGGTAAGATACCTACAAGGTAGCCAGAGAAGGTCGTGGAACGCGTTGGATGTCCATGTTGCGACGGCGCGCGCCTTGTTGATGCGGTTCGAGGCGCCCGCATTCTGCCTGAAGTGACTTGGCCACCGTCGCCACTTGGTGCTTCTGTCGCGATGGATCCCAAGAATGGGATTCCATCCTCCTCCCGTTCTGATGACATTTGCGTTCATCGACGAATCTCCTCTGCAATAATTGGCCCTCCAATCTTATCAGCCCCCCTCGGCGCTGCTGGACCCTGAAAAAGACCCATTCCCTCCTTCGACACCACTTGTCCCAAGCTCCCACCTGCTTCTCTCTCTCACTCTCTCTCTCCCTCTCCACCTCCACATTTCTTCACCTCCGCACTCCCTCCTTCTCCTCTCTCCCTCCGCCTCCATCTCCGTCTCCGTCTTCGTCTGTCTGTCCATCGTCCACGCGCCCAACATGCGTCTGTCCGTCTCCGCCATCCTCGCGCTCCCGCTCTTTGCGGCGGCCGCTGAGAACCAGTTTGAGGAATACAAGGCCCAGTTCCAGACCTACCTCGACCAGTTTTCCTCCTACATCCCCAACCCCAACAGATACGATGCCGCCGACGCGCATGAGGCCAAGACGGGCGCGAAGAAGCTGTCCATCCTGACCCTCGACAACTGGGAGGAGACGCTCTACTCCACCGTCCAGCCCTCCCAGACCACCCCTGAGGAGTGGGGGCTGCTGATCACCGGCCGCAACAAGACCTGCTACAGTATGTTGTTCTCTGACTTCTGCTTGAATCGCCCAACCTGCCTACTCTGTGTGCGGGCCGGCACACTTGACCATGACACCGCTGACACGAAGTCCCTCCTTCTCCAGACCAGTGCGGACCCGCCGAGGTGGCCTTCAACGCGACCGCTGAGAAGTTCGCCCCTCGACTCCCAAGGCCCCTCACATGGCCCTCCTCAACTGCGACGACCAGCCCGTCCTCTGGCACCATCTTCTCCTGCAACGCCAACAGCCTCTTGGGCTATCGACCTCCTTGCCGCCCGGGCACAAGGTCGACATTTGGGGCCCGCCGCATCAATGGGCACCACCGTCACCGCCCA